TCTTCTCCCGACCAGATAACGCAAAATTGAAAAAGAAAAACTGAACGCCACATCAAGATATATATATATATAATCCTTTCTCAAAATAAAACATTCGATAGCTAAAATTAGCTAAAATTATCAGAGTAAAACACCTTGTATGATTCCATGCAAAACGAAACACAACTATGGCGTTACATTGTGTATCTGATGAGCAGAGATTTGCATGATGCAACCGTAACTTGATTGCATTTAAGCACAGTCACATACGCTTTCAACTATGGATTCATATTGAATCATCAGTGCAAGCGTGGTGGGAAACGCTTTGCTGAAAGAAAGCGTCAAAGTCGCGTAGCTCGATGAGGCGATGTACTAAAGGTTCAGGTATGTGCTTGTCATTGATCTGAGCGATTTATCAGCGGAAGATGATACGCGATCTGCTCTGCGGATTGCAGAAGACAAAGTTCATTTAGTGAGAGCCGTTCATCGTCGCGAACTAGAGATCACATTCACCAATATTCATCGACTCCGTCAAACCTTAAACCGGTGACTGAGGAAAAGAAACAGAAAGTAAAATAATTCTCTTACACCTATCAAGTTACTTGGTTGCACAAGGTGTGGAGCAATTGTACCGTTGGTAAAATCATCACGTAGCTGTTCATCAAGACAATGCAGTGTCTACCAGTTCGGCCAACCTAGCGTTCGCTAGGGGCCAGGAAATATAAATTTGTTAAAGAGTAACGGTTGAAAAAAAACTGATCGAATTTGGAGGAGGACGTAGAAGCTTTTATTGAAATTGAAACTTACGAGAAAAACACCCTGTGAATGGCGAAAGGTGCTTCCGAAGCACGAAAGGATCCACCGATGTTTATTTTTACTTCTATAAATAATAATTCCATCTTCGAGAGACATTTGAGTGGTAAGAAGATGCAATCGGATCTTCTATCCACCCCTTCGAAATCTCCACATTTGTTTGTCCGCAAAGTAAGGTGATGTCTACAAGGCGTTTGGACAACCCCATTCACAGATACAAGTCGTGAAGAAGCCTCAAAAATCATCCAGTCGTATCTACCAAGAACATTATGCTCAAATAAGGTTTCCTCAACTAATACAAAGGTCCGCTGCCATTGAATGACATGGGTAATCCGCTCGCTGACCGGTATTTTGTGAATTAACATCGCCGTCACCACCTCACCAGTTTAGCATCAGTCCCTTGGTAATCTTCAATCTATCACAGTCTCTTCTAAATACTCGGGGAACCTTTGTGATATTTCTGTAAACGGACATAAATTGGTTATGATTATTGTTTCCGGAAAAGCAGGCATCAGGAAAGATTGTATCTCCGCAGTTTCGGTCGGTCGGTTGGTCTGTTTTCAGCCACACGAGGGAGAGTCATTAATTTGACAAATTGGCACAATGAGTACTTGGAATTCAACGGTTTACTTAGCCATAACCCAAAACGTACACCTCAGAAGACCAAAACCAGAACTATATTTACTTTCCTCGGTCACCTTGGGCGCAAACGAATACAGGGCCCGTCCAAACTCAAGCGACCCTCTTGTGTCAATTTCTCTGTTCCAGTTGCAATTGTATACACCTCAGGTGGGTCCATTTCTCTTTTCTTTTTAAATTCCAATACACACTCACCTTGAATTCTTTAGTGGATATGCTGAACAAATGACCTTGAAATGCGATTCGGAAACCGTCTCGTTGGAATTTTAAATCACGCCAATCGGTCAATAGTTCCACCCCCACCACTAAATCCAGATTGTTCAACAAACCGGGTGCTGAGGCGGACATACAGTAAATGAAATAAACCCATTGGTCATTGACAGTCGTAGACAACAGCAATTTAAACCATGGGTCATAAAATATTGAACCAAGCGGTCAAGGAGGTGGACTGATCGAGTTACGATTGTAGTTAACTTGCAACGAAAATGATGTGATCAGCCGATTTGTTCCCAGACATGTCAGTTTATGTTTGTTCAACCATTAACCAAGCACTTTTGCTCGTCGCTTTTGGTTGCTGTCTTTTGGCTGCCCATTTGGTTGACACAGTAGGAGGCAGATAGGAAAGTTTAAAGTAGATGCGAAGAGAATTTCAGAGAACTTTAGTGGACCAATGTTGCAGAGCAATTCGGAAGCTGCACTAACGTCACTGTTTACGACACTCGGCCATATCACTCAATGTGTCTAATCATCGGTTACGATCATCCCGAGGGAGCCTAAAAGGTATTATATGCCCGAGTCTTCTGGCTAGAGCTTTCATGTCCTCTTTCCAGGTCTTGGTTTATGCCAACCACTACCTGCCTCGGCGAACATCGTTCGCTGCGGTAACCTATTTGGTGACATACGTAACATCCTTGCCCCAAACAACGCAATGTATGGAGGTCGATCACTTGCTCCAGTGGGTGACCGCGGTTACCTTAATCTCTGCACCTTACCACGGCATTGCTCATTCGGCCATCCCACCATATTCGTACAATGCTGCGTGGACAGTACCAAGCCTATTTTATTTCTCCATTTATGACTCCCTGTCTTCGGACATTTTGTTCAAGAGATAAAAGTCGATAAGTAATAGAAATGCATGCCAGGCTTAAAGCGTAGTTTTAAGTGATGACAGCGTGACTTTAATAGAGAACGGTTGTTTTCAGACTTGCTTTCTAGTCAAACAATGAAATTTCAAAGGGGAAATTCGTCATGTATAGAGAGGAAATGAAGCGTGAACTGAAAGCTAGGAAGCACTGGACAGCTATTTTGACCTGGTTGGGTTTCATTAGCGAATCCATCGACCCAACTGGGGAGATCGAACCCGGGACAGCAGCACTTGCCAAAAAAAACCGGTATTTGGAGTGACAAGATAGTTTTATCCTCATTGACTGGTTCTGGTTGCACTGATGGTCGTAAAATATGATTCATCTGATGTGAAAATTACAGAAGAAGCGGCAAAAGCAAAAGGAGTAGTTAAATATCCTTTATCTACAGCGAAAAATGGTTCTCACACACCAGCTACCTGTTGGGACTAAATTAGCATCAGAGAATTGGTCTTGAGAACAGAGTCCAGTTGAGAATCACAACAAAGGGAACCATAACTTTTGTAAAATGAAGTTAATTGGGTTGCGATTCAGTTTTGCTATTTAATTCAAACATAAGAATTTATTTCATTGCATTTGAGTATCAATGGTAAATGTGCCTTTCAATGCTCAAAGAGTTGCATTTGAACCAAACGGGTTAGCAAAATTTGACGCAGACACCAAATCTTTCCGGACATAGGCCGAACCACACATACGCCTGATCATGGTTGGCGGCTTATCCATCCTATCACTACTCGTATGTCTTACCCAACCGATCGTGGTCAGGTGCTGTTGGGTTCTTTTGTGCTTTTCGCTCGACTAGTCTCAGTCTGTCCATCACCCAAGCGTATGCAGAACGCTTTCGATCAGCTGAGGGATTGCACGATCTTCGGGTGTCTATTATCAGGCAGACTGTAAATAGTCTGAATTTTATTCACTCAACTATCAAAGGACGAACGATCCGGTCGAAAACCAGACGGACCTCACTTAAAGTTGCTCGTTGTGCTGATATTTGTCCACAGAGTCCGTCCACTGTGCTCATAGTGTACTAAATGCAAAGTCTCATTCTAACCCAAGCATATTCACTCCGATGCCAAGGCTTACTTCATGCTTCAACTATGTCTTCATTTGCAATGTATTCACTCTACCGGCTGATCCCCACATGAATCGCTATTGGTACCCTACTTAGTGAAAAGGTTTTATTCGTATGAAGGACACGCAAGCGAACAGCCTAGCTTGCTTCATCATTACCATTTGGTGAACTGCATTTTGCGCGTTCTTTGTTTTTTAAAGGTCACTCGGTAACAGAAACCCGGTGTTAGATTGCATGTTANTAAGAATATCGCTTAAACAATGAAAACTACTATGGTATTTTACCTATATTCCGTGCCCAAACAAGATTAATCTCCATAGTTTCAATCAGGGCAAAATAGCTCGACAATGAATTACAATAAGTAAGAACTGTTTAGCCATACCGGAAGTCTTAACAGTGACCTTGAAGCAATTCAGACAAACAAAGAAGTGGGAAGAGCGCAGAGACGAAATCGCAATAAAGGTGGTTGCTAGGTGATGGTATTTCTTTGTTCAGACATAGTAGGGTCTAAGGTAATCTTTTTTTAAATTCTGCTCTTCGTTTAATCATGATTGACAAGTACAAGTTGACGAGAATCCAAAAGGTTAGTGAGTGTGAATAGACATAAAATCCGGAATGCAGGGAAACATCTATTTTCATAAAGTGTCCACGTAATGTGTCAAAAACTCACCTCCTCCACCAAAGCAGTCAGTAAGCCAATAAAGAGAAGAGAGGTGATAAACGTCGGATAGGCTCCCAGATATTTCCTGTAATTTTTAGTTAAGTAGGAGAGGGGAGAATTTAGAGGACAATATTAGCTTTGGATTATAAACATTTGGTAAATGTATTACAGGTGTACTGAACTGAGCTGTGTC